AAATTATTGTGTTGTTTGAGTGTTTGAGCATTTTTTTCTTCTTAATCTGAATCGGAATCGGAAACTGAATCACATGGAAAAATCCTTTACTACGGGTCGATTATGTTTTAAGGCATTTTCAGTCAGTTCCAAGTAGGGATGTTTCAATACAACTTTTTCATGTCAGATACCGATACTGCAACTTGGAAAATTTGCGATACCGAAACCTTTCTCGTCCAGCCTGCCACGGGCTACCATTGCTGAGGTAGTAGTTTACGACATGTAAACGTTATGTGGATCTATTGGGCTCAGGTATTGGATCGAATGGCCTATAGTACCGATCCTGAGTATCGTATCAAGCCATTGCCAAGTTCTATTTACTATTAACCTTTTATGGGATAGCTGAGTCTACCCCGACTCACCTGAAGACTGTGTCCAGCCCAGACGGCTCTGACGTCTCTTTTCATCTCAAACTGCTCTCCCTCAGATTGAGACGCATCATAGTAACCAATGGTTTGAAATACTATGTAACCATTTTCGTCCATTTGCCAGTTTACCAGAGCATAACGAGCCACAGGGTCTCCAAAGTCGTCAAAGAAAACATTGTCACCAACTTTTGTGGTGAAATTGACCTTGGTTAGGTAATGCAGCACCTGAATAGAGAATGGACATAGTTTTCACATCACTAGAAAAATGTAGAACATAATACATAATATGAAAGCATATTCGAGATACAGTAGATTTTTAAAAAATCTCTTTTTTATTTCACTCCAGTGTAAGTCTTAAAGAGGTCATGAGACTAAAATCACTAGTCACAAGTATTAAATATACTTCTTAAACTGTATATTGTTACATACTAGTATAACTGTGCTAGTGCTAAGTTCCATATACCTTACAGTACTGTAAATACAGTACAGTACTGCCATGTCATGTCAGGGATCAGGTGAAATAGTGTAATATCAAACTTTGAAGTACATTATTATCTTGTCTCCCCTCATGACATATCCTTTTAGACAGTAGTATTCTACTATATATAACAAGTAGTATTTCGTAAATGTATCTGTGTTACCTGCCACGGCTGTACATTTTCTTTGTCCGCACACGTGTTGTTCTCAAAAGGCCCTTTTCCCTCTTCACACATCAACAGCATGTGCACAGCGTGAGCCACAGCGTACGTAGCCTTGTACACGTTATTCAACAGACTGGCATCTGAGACATCAGTGAAGCGGGTGTCGGTGTCCCTCAGAGACTCCAGCCCAGAGCACAGGCCCAGAGAACCTGGGGTTTTCGGAGGAGATCTGAGGCTGCAGCCGAACACGTTCTCCCACAGCTCCAGCAGGCCTTGGTTCCCTGGTGCGGTCGAGGGTCTGCTGTTCACCAGGAATTCCTGCAGTCCAGGGATGTGAGCGTTGAGCGCGGCAAAGCCCACTGCCCCTTGCACCACAGCATAGTTGACAGCAGAGGCGATGTAACGGTAAGTGATCCAGCCCTCGCTGCCCACCCACTGCAGGCCTGTCACATTCTGTGCGTGCAGCTCTTTGATCAGTATGTCCAGGTCAGTGCCATCTGCAAACGCCACAATAACCTTGGAGGTGGATTTCTTTATGATGTCCACCACCTCCAAAAACAACTTCCGTGGATCTGTCCGGTAAATAGCCACAGAGTACTCAACGCACACACCTTCCTTTTCAGCTGCTTTCAGGAAGGTGGCCATGCCACCGTTGCCGTAGTCACTGTTGGTCCTGATGGCACCGACCCAGGTCCAGCCGAAGTGTTTTACTAACTTTGCCAAAGCTCTGCTCTGGTAAATGTCACTGGGTATGGTTCTGAAGAACGAGGGAAACTCTCTCCTGTTACTGAGACATGCACACGTCGCAGAGTGACTGATCTGAAATGACAAACACAGACAAGAAGTTTGACATTTTATCAACATTTTTGCTTTGATTGACATTGATTAAAATGACAGGCTGTCTACATGGGGTGGGAAATCAATTAAATTAACAAAACTAACAAAAGAGAATTCATCACAGATATACCTGGTGACTTCCTTGTCTGTGGATTTTGTATTGCTTCTAAATCTTCTGTTTTAAAACCCTGCTACAGGATTTACACAGCCTTTAATCCATTGTTGGTGATTTTTCGCTTTTGTTCTCTTTCCTCATTTATTTTACATCAACCACAAAAGCAGTAGCATAGAGTCATAGGGAAAAAATCCTGTCTGTATGTAAGATATCATTAGCGTTTTAATTAAAGCAGGTTATGGCACCTTTGCTAAGACTGTGATAGAAAAGAAATAACATGTTTTTTTTTTATTAAACATGATGGAAATAAAACATGTGAATTATGGTGAATATATATTTGTTATAAACAACGTCATAGCAGATGATGTTCAATATTTACACAGAACATCTAGAACCAGTCAAACAGTACGAGCATCAGTACACAAAGAAGTAAGAAGTCATCATTTTACAGGTAGAATGCAGTGTTTGCCTCAGTTCATGTCACCTCTCACCTACAGATACAAACAAACACAATCCCAAACTGCAGCATGAAACAATGTGATTGCTCACACTGTTACCTAAACAATAAGAAAAAACAAGAAACAGTGAGACTTGTCTTCATTTGACAACTTGTTTCCTTGGCCTCCTCCACTCACTCACCACAGGAATATGGAACGGTCCCATGGTGCGTGCTATACCGATGGTGGAGGTTGAAGTGGTCTCCCCGATGACAGCGTGCACACTGGAGGGTTTGTGACAGCTCTCCCCCTTATTCTCATTCTCACTATACTTATTCATCAGGTTGAGGGATGCTCTGATGGACAGGGGGATGCTGGGACAGGAGTCAAAGATCCTGTAGCCCAGCGTGACACCCGGCAGCAGCTCGGAGCTGTTGTTGATCTCTTCGATTGCGAACATCATGGTGAAAGCATACTGCAGCTCTCCTGGGTCCAGTCTTTAAAAGCGGGGGTGAAAAACATTGTTTTAGGGCCAATATTAATAAGACAAAACAATAGAAGCTGTCTCGGTGACCTTACCCTTCACACTGGATTGTTCCTGGATCCTCTTGTAGATCTGGATTAATGCTAACTGGATGCTGGTGGAAGGAGAAAATGCCTCCAAAAATAATGTCCCCATCCTTAGAAAACTGGGACACTTCTTCAGTCCTATATGTTTGACACACAGGACTTTCTCCTTTGGTGGTTAAGAGGGAAAGAAGCAGCAGCTCTGCGCTCAGCATCAGAGTCAGTACCACCATTGCTCACTTCATCAATCCACCCCCAAACTCCAGGTTATACCCACTGAGTGCTAAGCATTTATAAGGTTTTTTTTTTTTTCTTCAACTACCATAAAGCCTCTGGGATTTTCATGGATTATGTATGAATATTGTTTTTTGTCACCGTACCAATGACAGCCCTTGTGTTTGCACTGACAGAAGGATGGACCAATTATTTCATCTTTATTATAATTCTGTATTATATCAAATATTAACTTAGGATGGTCTGGGCTAAAGTATTCATTTTTTTAACAAGAGTTTTGTTTTATTTTCAATTACCTCTTAATTGATTTTAGCTTTAAGTTTTTTATGTTTGACTTACTATTATGGCAATGCTTGAAACTTTTTTATACATGAATTTTAATCACTCACCATATGTTTAAACATTAAATGTTGTAAAACATCATGGAAATTACTGTTCCAAAATCTGATGATTTAGTATGCAGATGACTTACAGCTGTTATCATTTGTTTGTACCAACTCTCACACTGTCATCTCACAAAATACAAACAATTCCCACTTGTTCTAGACAGTGTGCCAAAAAACTACTTTTGGTAGTTTGATCAGTAAAAAAAAACCATCTGAACAAGGCAATTTTGAAAAAAAAAATGTGACACTTTTATGAAAGTGTTTTTCCGTTCTAACTCAGTAGTATTTGAACAATGTAGGTCTTTACCTCTGTCTGCATAGTAGGAGTCTGGCAGTGTAGGTTTCAGTAATTATATATATATTGATTAAATACAAATATTCAGTTAATATTTGTTTGTTTGTTTGTTTTTCTTTTTTCGTGATTATCCTTTTCCCATCAGATGTTTCTTGGTGTTAAGTTCAGGTTTAAAGACTAAAATGAAACATTTTGGAGCAAAAATGCAGAAAAGTATTCCATAACTGGAGGCTAAAATGGCGAAGATCTCCACAGCCACAGTGAACTTCCCCGGAGAACTGACGTATGCTGGGATGAAGGTGATCCACACTGCACAGAAGATCAACATACTGAAGGTGATGAATTTGGCCTCGTTGAAATTATCTGGTAGATTTCTGCCTAAAAATGCAAGTACAAAACACAACATGGCCAAGAGTCCGATGTATCCTAACACAGCCCAGAAGCCCACGGGGGAACCCAGAGCACATTCCAGAATGATCTTCTCCTTGTAGTGTTCCATGTTCTTGAAGGGAAACGGAGGGTTGATGGTGAGCCACAGAACGCAGATTAAAACCTGTATGAGAGTAAAAGCCAGAACACTGAGTCTCTGTTGAACTGGTCCAAACCATTTCATGACATTACTGCCTGGAAGTGTGGCCCTAAAAGCCATCAGCACCACGATGGTTTTCCCCAGGACGCAGGAGATGCAGAGAACAAAGGTGATGCCAAAGGCCGTGTGTCGCAGCATGCAGGACCAGTGAGACGGTCGGCCGATGAAGGTCAGAGAGCACAGGAAACACAGAGTCAGGGAGAAGAGCAGCAGGAAGCTCAGCTCTGAGTTGTTGGCTTTCACTAGCGGAGTGTCTTTATTGTGGAGGAAAAGTGCAGCTACAGCTACAGTTAGGACAATTCCAAAAAGAGTGAAGAACACCAGGATTTGACTCATCGCGTCAGTGAAGGAGAGGAACTCAACAATCTTCAAGACGCATTTATCTTTGCGTCGATTGGACCAGTACTCCTCAGGACATTTATTGCATCCAATGGCATCTGGAATGGAAGTTTGAGTTTGTTTTGTGTCGATCCAATATATTAGCACATTTCTGAAATTCTCCTTTTAATTTTGATGACTTTTGTATGTGAATAAATATACAGCATGATTGTTAGTATCTGGGTAACATTAGCTTAAATTGTTTCCAATATTAAATTGGGTGAATATTGGATAAACTATGATAAGAAGCTTAAATTAGCAGACTCGAGCCGGTGATATGGGTTGGACATAAGCTGAAGAAAAGTAGTGAATAGTGACACATGATGTTCGAGACAGAGCTACTGGTGTAAAAGGATGTCGAAGAGGACATTGAGAATATTGAGCTAGCAGTAGAGGAGGTAGGAGGAAAAGAAAAAAAATAGCAATTAGCTAATTACCATGTTAGCAAAAGTTTGTCTAAAATTTGCATGAAATATCATGTAATACCTGAAAGTTAGCTACTAACTGTAAAAGATTATAATAGCTAAGCATTAGCTTAAAGTGGTTAAAACAATTTTCCCAGGCGCAGAAGACCATTTCTTAACCTGACCCACACCATAGAAAACTTTAGCAGGCAGCAGTGTAGGCATATAACCAGTAAGTCGGAGTTGTTGTATTTAGCGTTGATAGCACCTGTGCTGTTGTTGATTTCTCCCTCTGCACACGGCACGCAGTCGTAGCAGCAAACAGGTTTTCCTTTTTGCAGTACTTTATGAGTTCCTGGATTACAGCTGGTGCTGCACACCGACACAGGAGGCTTTAGAACGAGAAGAAGAGTAAAAATGGCATTTAATTTAAGCCACAGGGGTTACCTTTAACATTAATTTTGCGCTAGCTCGCTAATGAAGGCTAAATTAATGACACCGACACAGGAGGCTTTAGAACGAGAAAAAGAGTAAAAATGGCATTTAATTACAAAGTGAAAGGGCTCAGTAGCCACAGGGGTTACCTTTAACTTTAATTTTGTGCTAGCTCGCTAATGAAGGTTAAATTAATGATTACCTTTAAGCCTTCCACCTTCTACCATCCTCATTAACTCATATTTTTTCTAAATATTTAACATATATATTTTTTTTTTCTAAATATTTAACATACAGTATATATATAAAGTCTAAAGTCAGGTTACATACAGTGTTTGCTTCTTCTTTTTCACCAGGCCAAACTATGTCTTCAGTTTTGAGAAGGAACTTCTGTCCCATGGGCAGCGAGGCGTCGTAGTAACCCACAGGTTTAAAGTGGACAGACCCATCTGGTCCACGCTGCCAGTTCACCACCTCGTACCGAGCCACAGCTGCACCAGTGCTGTCAAACCAAACCTGTTCTCCATTCTTAATGGAAAAGTTCACTTGCTTCAGAGACTCCACCACCTGAGATACAACATTCAGTGTCAGTTTACTTAAACAACAATTACAGGATATGAACAAACCTACGACATATTTATTATGTATCTAAATTACTGTTTTATAACACTAATAGGTTAAGAACATTGTTTTAGTGGTCAGAGATTAAATGTTTGTTTCAAAGTTAACTCACGGTGGCACTGGAGCTGCTGTAAGGAAAACGGTGTCACTGAGCTAACTCAAATAATGTTTTTGAATGTTTCCACCTGATAGATCAGCTGTTCAATAACATATCATTTAAACTGTGATGTGACTTTTCCGTGTGAAGTCACTGGTGACAAGTAATTGAGTTACAAAGGAAGGTTTCTGCTTGTAAAGGATGGCCTACCAACATAGAAGCTTTGCTGTCAACATGGGCTAAATTGGCTTATTTTTTTCACTTTACCTGCCAGGGTGTAATCTTTCTGGTCGTGTCACATCCCTGACTCCCAGAGCAGTGAAGCTCTTTGTGCAGAGAGAAGGCCACGGCGTACAAGGCTTTGTAGATGTTGCTCGAGTACCGCAGCTCTGACACATCGTCGTCATAATCTTTGAATTTAATTAAATCATGGTTGTTTTTACAAAATTCTGTCGGTACCACATTTTTTCCCACGGGACACTCTCTGTCCCAGAACCCTCTGATTAAAAAGTCGTTCAGACCGCTGACATTGGCCTTCTGCACAGCAAAGCCCAGAGAACCTCCCAGCACGCTGAAGCTGCTGGGAGTCACCAGACTGTCGGCCGTGATCCACGCCTCCACGCCAATGAACTGGCGACCGGTGATGTTGTGCAAACTCATTTGCTCCAGAAGATTGTTCATCTCCACGTGAGCCATGAACGCCACGATGACGCGGGCGGTGCTCTGTTGTATCACCTCCACCACCTTCATCAGTTTCTCAGGCTGCGCTCTGTGAAACTTCTCCGTGTACTCCACACACACACCCTCCTCTTTGGCCGCGGCAAGAAAAATAGCCATGCCGTTGTTGCCGTAGTCACTGTCACTATTGACTGTCCCGACCCAGGACCATCCAAAGTGCTTGACCAGATGAGCAAGGGCTCTGCTCTGGTAAAGGTCACTGGCTATGGTTCGAAAAAAGGACGGAAAATCCTCCCTACTGCTTAGACACTCACACGTGGCAGAATGACTAATCTGGAATTTCACAAAGAAGAATGTTGAGTCAATATAGTTCTTTAACAGACTGAACACAAAAACACATGACATAGAAATGGAAGTGAATGGAAGAGCAATTAAAAAGCAGGTCTGAAGGACAGTTGTCATTAGTCTGAAGTAGTTAGTGTGTAGATTGATTTAAATGTATCTGTTAAGTGTCCATATTAATCTTCTTTACTTTAAATCAAGTTATCTTAAGATTCTCTGATTTATTTTATTTTATTTTTTACCATTTGGTCTTATGACGACCAAATGTACAGAACACAATACAGAGTAAATTTAAGGGCCAACAATGAAATTGAATGAAAATACTCCAACTTACAAAGAGTAAATTTAAGGGCCAACAATGAAACCTGTCAAAATATGAGCCAAAAAATACTTCAACTTACAGTCAAATAACAATATTAAATGTATTGTTTGTCAGAAAACATTAGAATGTCTTAATCATATTCAAAAATACAAATTCAATTCAAACGGTGCTGAAAAATTGTGTGAATAAAAGCTCCTCAGTAAAAACAAAAAACAAATGGCAAATGCAATCAACATATAAACAGGGCAGATAATAGTGTGCATTAGAAGAACAATAATGTCAAAAAATGGCCCATGAAATCGAAGCGGTGACAAGACTTGTATCTTGTATCGGCCTATGTCTAACATATTGTCATTAAAAACAAAAGAAACAGACAAGAACACAATGATCATCCATAGTCCTACCACTGGTATTTTGAAGGGGCCTATGGTGCGTGTGAGCACGATGGTCGACGAAGATTCAGACTCTCCAATGATTGCATGAACAGCAGACTGACCGGAACACCTCGGTCCTCCCGTCAGCTCTTCACCATTCATCAAGGCCATAGCTGCTCGCATCGAGGACAACGTGGAGCCACAGTTGTCGTAGATTCTGTAGCCCACAGAAATGTTTGGAAGAAGGAGAGTGTTTTGGTTGATTTCCGAGATTGCAAATATCATGGTTTGGGCAAATCGAAATTCCCTCAAGTTGACGCTAAAACACACAAAAAAAAAAATACTGTAGGAAACTTGGGTTTACTGTGATCCTAGTATTAAAATGACCATTACCTGGAGCAGGTGAGTCGAGGTGGTGTCTCTGTGAAGGAAAGTGTAAGTTCAGAGATTTTGCTGTGAATAGAAAAAACTCCTCCAATCATCACTTCTCCCTCTTTGGACAACAAAGGGAATTCTGGACTGGCCAGAATCTGACAGGAAGTAGCGTTGTCATCTGCAGCTGCAAATACAAACAAAAACTTGATGAAAAACAGGCGTCTGATCACAACAGGCATGTTCTGAGTACAGACCCCGATCAGGAGCGACTACACTCAGAATCAATGATCACATTTATAATCCTAGTGGACAGCAGTTTTAAGTGCAAGCTTTCTGACCAATCAGAGTTGGAAACTTTTTAATTGGCTAGCTGGTCGGCGTCACTGATACGGTCGCACCTTGTTACTTTAACTGCAGTATTTTCTGCTGCAACAGAATCTATACAAAGAACGTCCCCAATGTTTACAATTTACCGCAACTCAACCTACCGTAGCCCATCTTCCAAACATGAAGGTGGGCTACGGTGATATATTAACCTCACTTTTGTAATGTTTTAGATAATGGCGACCCTCCCCAAAGGTGAAAAGGTGACACTGACTGGTGTTTAAATAACGTTTAATAGAGTTTTGAAGAAAAAGCTGTGATGTTGTTGTGAGGGGGTCAACGATACTGGTATCAATCCAAGAGGAGAACCTTTAGAAGATGTTTTAGTGTCTTCTAAGACACATTAAGGCCCAAGGCTGCATAATTACCAATTACTTACTCAGTCATGGGCCTTGACTGCTAGACAAATAGTGATGGTTCACTAAGTCACTGGTCTCTGACTAAATGTATTAGGGCTGCTAAAATTAGAGCATTAATCACTTGAAGGTCTGGAGAATTATCAGCTAAGTAGTAAGTTACACCATGGATAGTTTGCTTTCCTAATACACAGTTGACACACAAGTGGTTATCTGTGCCCACTGTGGGAAATGCCTGGGCTTCAGTTTAAAATATCATGTCAACTCCCAGCGTGTGTTTGTAGAGGCTTCAACTTCAGGTCAGACGGTCACACTCATATCACACCTGCAGTAAAGTAAGTCTACGACTAAAAAGCTGAAGGACACGGTTGTCAAATGGACTGTTGGACACGAAGTATCAAGCAACTCCTGACATGTTCTACAAACCATCGTCAAGATAAACATTCGTGACTGACATCCACCGACTCTGTGGAGCTAGAGTTTGATTTATGACTCAATTCGTGACTGACATCCACCGACTCTGTAGAGTTTGATTTATGACTCGTATATATTGATTGATTAATTAATTAAAAATAAAAATAGGAGTCAAACACACACATACACATGTATGCAATGTGTGTATATATAAATAATGTAACCATTTGGTCATAGCTCAGAAACAAGTAACACTTGTAACCAATTCAAAATTGGAAAAGTTTGTATATGTTTATAAAAGTTTTGACATCTAACAGAAAGGGAACAGTCAAACACAGTTGATTGATCAGTGAGCAGTGAACCATGTGATATTTAATTTGACTTTGTTGTTATTTTCTTCAGACGGATGGGTGAATAATAACGAGCTCATTAACCTCTGGGGTCCTCCTTAATTAAAAGCTGTCAGTGTGTTTACAGAGGCGCCTGACCTTCACCGTCCTGGCTTGTTGTTGTTGTTCTCCCACTGGGAGCTCATTGAGTTTAAACACAGGTGGTGAAGTTCAGGTGTCTGGAGGTTGACCGTGACACGAACACCTCAGGCTCCTCAGCTCCTCTCAACAACATCAACAAAGTAACAGTAACAAGGTCTCTCTGGAGTTCACGTTTCATCTTTACCTGAGGCTTGATCTGGAAACTTCTCCCAAGTCTTACATCATTTAGCAGAAAAGTAAAGTCAGCCGTTAGAGTTCCTCATACAACACTGTGTGCTTTAACTAAAAGTTATATATTATAAAATAATGGACCAAATACACACAGCATAAAGAGACATAGACATAAAGAAAAATATGAACCTGAAACTGAAATTTGATCAATGCCAATACATAAAATATATTTATAAAATAAAATATATTTGCAGTACAGTCACACAAGCTCTGAATTATGTCTATTCTTATATAATATGTAACACTTTTTTTAAATTATCTGAGTTCCCATACAGTTTTGTGATGTCTATGTAGATTCCTATTCATTCACCATTTCATTGTTCATTTTTTCCCAGATAAATTGCCATATATTGCACACATACATTGTCAACACACAAAGGACCAAAGCTTAACATATATAAACATGTTGCCTTAAAATTTTCCAGACTAAAGCTTTGAATTGATTGGAAATTTCAATCTGGTTAATCACTGTGTGGCTGTGGATTAATCACAATTAATGGGGAAAAAATGGAGAGGACTTTCACACTTTTTTGTGTTAGAGTGATGTGTTAATATGTAAAAATGTCAATACATAAAAATGTTAAAAAACAAAATATATTGAAAGAATTCTGAACTGCATCTTAATGGTGACTCGTAGAACGTAGTAATCAGTCTTCAGTCCCTCAACCAAAGACTTACTAACTGTTCTTCGCTGGTTTAACCTGGTCTACCTGCAGTCAGACAGCTTGGGTAAAGCAGATGCATGCTATAAAAAATATTTAATATTTCAGTACCAACGTGGGTGGACAGTGAAATTATTGGGCGTCCAATGCGGGATATTCTGCCCAGTGGTAAAAATGTGTTATTAATGTGTTGAACTTAACCTGTTAATTATGATCTAAAAAGTTAGTCTAACAGTCTTTAGGTTAGTTAAACTATAGATCCAATTATGATAGAGTTGTTGTTCACTTTTGAACAACAAACTCCGTCTGGACTTAAAACGATTGTAAACAAGATTCTGCCCGAGGCTGGGCTGGAAAGTTGCCTGAACTGTTGCATCATGTCCTCCTCTGGAGATCAACTAGAGAACAGAACAATAGGATCACTGCAGGTCTTTGGTTAATAGGCTTCATTTCCACATAAACAAATTTGAAACTCATTACTTTAAATTGAGAATCTGTTTTTCCTTAACTTTTGTAAAGGTCAGAAAGTACACAGGGGTTGGGCAAAGACTTTTGAAAATTATTCAGACTGCATAAGAAATGTAACGACATTGTTGCCATAAAAATAAAATAAAATAAAATTCTATTAAATAATAAATGATGCGGATTACTGATAGTTCTTTAAGTCTCAGATGTTGTCGTTTTTTATATATATATATATATATTGTGGAGACCACACAATATTTTTGTCTTTGATCCTCACAAATCACAAGAAATCCAGTCACAGGTCAGATTGGACAGTTCAGTGGGCCAAATGCAACCTGCGAGCCACCAGTTGATGATCATGGATATGCAATATATATAAGTGTGATATTGTGTCCAAACTATGCCTCCATTACCGCCTCTTAAGATAAATAATATACTAAAAGTTAACCAGACATCTTTTAAAAGTTAGATAAGATATTTGATGGCTAGACGGTGGTGTTGTGGATAGAGCTTGTGCCTTACAACCAGAAGATCAACAGTCAGGGGTTAAGTGATACATGATTGGCTCTCTGTATGAAGAATTCTGCATATTCTTCTTCTGTGTGCATGGGTTTTGTCCTACTACACAGGTTTTTTTCATGTATGGACTCAAACGTACATGTCACCATATGTCGATGACATAAGAATGTTTGTCTCAAGTTTCGCTGCAATTCTGACACTGATTATACAGTAGCTATTCCTTTGAAGCTAATCTGTTTGTTAAATGTAGTATTTTAACATTTATTGAGTTATAAGCTGCACACAAAGCTTTTGCCTCAGGTTTTTTTCAGACATTTTTGTGGGTTGTAGTTAAGCTCCCTCTGTCGTACGACAATGTTACATAATTGGTTATGCATCATTTTATACAATTAAAATGTTTTGTACACTGTGTTCCTAAGGGGAAAACAACATTTACTAAATTACTTTATATTGAAACATTCCTGTCCCTGGGGCCAATAGGAGGTCTCGTATCCCCCACCTCTTTGACTTCTGTGAATATAAAAAATTACACAATAGCTTGTAATTATTATTATTATTTATTTATTGTTTGTGCTAATATTTTAAGAGGAAACCAACCAGCAGAACCTGGGGTTGTACCCACACTCCCAGTGTGTAGTGGTTATGACACCTGCCTTACAAACAGAAGGTCTTGTGTTTGAGCCCTATTGAAACCATACTTCCATACATGCTCTTCACATGCTCTTCAGTCTTGTGTTTGAGCCCTATTGAAACCACACTTCCATACATGCTCTTGTATGTCACTTTGGATAAAAATGCTAAATGCATACATTTAAATGCTAATGCCATAAGGAAAATATTAATGTACATTCAAACAAACACTTTAAAAATTAAAACTCAATAGTAGACAAAAGGTTGTAAAATGTGCTGCTCTGCTCTGCTCTGCTGACATGTTTAAAAAGGCTGTTTAGTTAAAGGCAGAGAAGCGGACAACACTTAAATACTGTTAAGGTGTTTTATCTATGCTAAATTGAATTTGTTGGCCATAAATACAACAAGAAAGATTAAAGGTCACTCAGTGTTAACATGGAGTAACTGAGAGAGCCTTTGAAGCCAATAATATTCACCTTTCTTTATTACAAAAAAAATGTTAAATAATTTGCCCAAAAAGCCAGAATTAATACTTTTTCCCCATCAATCCTTATTGAAACTATATGCGTCAAAAATAATATTAATAATATTTTTCATATACCGAATAAGTTGGTCAGAACTGTATAAAAGTTTCAAAATAAGTTGGTCAGAACTGTATAAAAGTTTAAAGTTTCAAAGAGAAATATTGTTTCTGCTGTTGTTTTGGACAATGTTACATCATCATTGTTGTTAATTAAAGGTTGGATTTAAACACCTGCTCATTTCCAGAGCTCCAGCCTCAGGCTCACATGTCGTCAGACTCCAAAGAAACACCTGCCTTTTCTTGCCCATTCCACTCCCGGCTGTTCTTTACTTGGTCTCATGGGTAAAAAAAAGTAAATTGGCAGGTTAAGACAGATGTCATTATTTAAACAATAACAAATATGAAGTTTTGTTTTTATTCTTTTTAAATACCCAAGAGTCATTTTAC